GTTGTCGGTTTCTGATTTCTGTTTGCCAAATGAAACACACGCAAATTACACATATCTAAAAACACCATAAATTGCATCATTCAGAAGAGAAATCCCATTCAAATTAAAATCCCTCCATTGTAAGATCTTGAAATCACAACCCAGCATTAGGGGAACAGGAAACCACTGAATGAATCGTGAGAGTCCCACTTCCATGTGCCTTTAAAACCAAAGAACAGAAATGAGGTGCATTCATTTTGAAAGGTTTTGCCGTTCTGCTGTCTGTAGTCAAGTAAAGCACCCACAGAACCCAATCAAACAGAATCCTGCAGGGCAAGAAATGATTCAAGTGTAGTGTGTAACACAGCCTTCTATTGTATGACCAAGAGTCTCAGGACACAAGTAATTGTGAAGAGGGGGAAGAGGTTAATCAGATCCCAATGCCATTATGAAGAGCAGTTATTTCTAAAGGTTCTTTGAAGGGAATAAGCTCTAAGTAAAAATGAATCACATCTCAATGCTTTAAGGGAACAAGAATGGATAAAAGAGGCTTTGTGGAGTTCTTAAGAGGTTGGTCTTCTTAAGTTCCTCAAGAAGTGGAATCCTAGAAACCTAATTAATTATCTCAGTTTAAAAACTTTCATTCATACTCTGTTGTAAGTTCTTCTGTAGCTAACCCAGCTTTCTTGAGAATTCTGTGACCATCAATGGTTTGTTCATTTGTTCTTATTTTACATTCTAATCAATAGTCATAAACGTAACCATGAAAGACAGATTTAGTTGTTGTTGGCAGGACACGTTTTCTATTGATAGTAGCACATGAAACAATTATTCCTTCATTTCAACAATGGAATCAGTTGACAAACAAACACTAAAGCTTGCATCAGTAGAGATGTAAACCAAATAGAGTGCACGCTTTCTGTGATTTTCAAAAGCAGACATTTATTCATTTGGTATCAGAAGCAGGAATTTTGAATCTCTCATATCAGTAAACTGAGTGATGTCAGTGTACAGATTTCCAGATTCTGTCAAGTCCTTCACCTGAAAGTAATTAGTGACTGGCGCTTGCTTTTGGGTAATTTGGTAAATGGATTAGAACATTTTGTTGGGCATAAAATTAATCAGATAATCTTTCAGCAAGAATGTTAATGTCTATTTGCCAAATCAACTAAGCCTTTACTCTCTGCCACCCATTTAATAATTGAACAGTTGTCAGGGGGAAATTTGTTAACAGCCCAGACAATGCTGCATTATGCTTAGAGGTATTTAAGCAGACGAGATCAAGTGAGATGGAAAACTAATTTCCATGTCAGAAAGTGGGGATGTTACTGGCAGAAGGTGTTTTTGATTTGTATCTCTCAAACAGAATGCACAGCTCTACATTGTGACAGGCAATATTAAAAGAGGTATAGCAACTAATAAAGCTTTATCCTGCTTCCCACAGGAGTTTAATTCAAGCAGTTCACTTTTCACTGTTTTAAAAGCAGGGAAAGATGCAAATCACCCAAAGGCTCTCCCTAGGGCTGCTTAAACCACGTGACTTGAGATTTACATAAAACCTTATACAAGTCAAGCAAAATAGGTTTTGAGCCTAATACAGAGATATAAAACAGGACAGGGTAGATATAGAATCAATAGAGAAAGTATGTCAACAGTTTAAAGGTTTTTTTGTTTGAAGAACAGGACAGATTCATCCCAGCAGTAAACAAACCAAAGGATAGAAAATGATCGGTCAAATACTCTAATATCTCAATTAAGAAAAAATATACAGAAAAAGAAAGCTCTTTATTAAATGCAATTAAGAAATGAGAGATAGGCATTTTATCACCCTTTATTAATACTTTTTTGTTCAGCCAGTCAAGACAAGAGTAATTCATAGAGCCTGGAAAACTACTAATGTAGTGTCAAACAATAATAATAATTGCATACCAATACATTCTACTCTGTTACATGTAAGACTATGCAAAGGAAATTCTAAGGGATATTCAACATGGTTTTAAAAATGGAAGTCTTGGCTAACAAAGTTGTGAGAGTTCATTGAACAGAAAACAGTAGTAAGTGATGTAAACAGAACATGTAGGCACTTAGATTTCCAGAAAGCTCCTGAAAACATTCCTCATGAAAAACTCACAAAAAACTCTCCTTCTTACATAGTAATTGTACAAGGCACTAGTAAAACATAATTTAGGGTTTTCTTTCCTATTTCAATGACCACATTACTATATATTGCTGCTAAAGTATAGGTTCACAGACCAGGTATGGTTGAGGTTGCAAAGGAAAGTCCCATGTTGAAAAGCTAATACAACTACAGTTCACTCCCTTTAACATTGAACAGAGATGACTATGAGGGGGGCTTGATTCTACATTTTACAGGATGATCTCTCAATTACAGCCTCATTTCACTGACCACTGACTTTCTTGTCCATAGTTCCCTCAGGAAAATGAACCACTCTCATGAATGTGCAATGTAGCAATAATATAAGAAAGAAAACTTTTTTTTTTACTGGTATTAGAGTATAGTATGACTGTAATGCAAATGTAGCATTAAACATACAGTAGATAATTGTAAGCAATTAAGAATGATTTGTTGTGTCCTCCTGTTTACTGGATCTTCAATATCCATGGGATGTGATACCACCTTGTACAAGTAACCAGCTCATAGCTGGCACAGATGATCCTGGCACATCTCTCAAGCTAGGTAAGGCCGGACCTAGTCAGTGCATCTTTGGTATTCTTGCACATTTTGAGCAGTGATCCTATGATCATCACACTTTTTAACTTTAATCATCACCAACTAAAATAAAATGAAAGCATTCTGTAATTTTAGAAATGCAGTGACAGTACACTGTTTGATCTTTTTTTATTTCAGGATCCATCCTCATTGAGGTAAATTAGGGTTATTAGAATTGGTTGTGATGCTTTTATCAAATTCTGTATGACGTGCAGGAGTAATTCTGAAAGCTCACAGGCTGGAAGATGAACAATAATCATTCATTGTATACTGCAACAATGTCTTTTTTTGCCTGGCTACTTGAAAGGAGTTTACTAAGAGGTTATATTACTAAGGGCATATTATACAGTATAGGAAAATAGCCAGGGTTCAGTCTGTTGCAAACATTGTAGTCTTGAACACAATAAATGTGATAAGGTCATGAACTGTCTTCACACACATTGACCTTGTGGAGTGTAGTACTTGAAAATTGTATTATAACAGTACGATAGATACTATAGATACACTATAGTACTATAGATACATATAGTAACATGAGGGAAAATTTAGAGAAGCAGCCACAGATAATGAAGGTATCACTAAGATAAGTTGAATTTCATCTCAGATATATATCTTGTATCACTGTCATATAATTAGAGTTCAGCTTGAACCATGCTTAAGGGAAGACAAGCGTATCTGTCTTCCCAGCAGACAACATACAGTACAAGTTTCTTGGTATAGAACAGGGCAATGGCACAAGTCCCAAAGTACAGGAGAGAGACGCTGCA